CTTTAGGGTGAAAGAGATGAAAAAATTAAGGGTCTCTGCGAGGCAAGTTGAAGTAGTATAGGAAAGACAAAAGAGGGTCCTAAGAAGAGAGGGGTTTCAATCAGAGGGTGGAAAGGAGCTAAGGAGAAGAGGAAGGAGAGTGAGGAGTGGGTTTGGGTTATAACAAGGTATCAAAAAATGGTGGGCAAAAAAATTTGTTGAGAAGAGAGTAGAGACTGGAGATGTAGAAATAGGGTGCACATTCGGTCGGTTTAGTTCAAACCGATGACCTAACCAACTATTTGGTTTGGTCATATCCCTCAACCAAACCGAACTGGATTGGGGTTTAAAATCGAACCGAACCAAACTGAATTTGGTTCAGTTTTTTGACAATTTAAAAAACAAAAGAACCCAGTTTTTTAAAGAGGGGAGAAAAGGGAAAAAATCAACTAAAAGTCTAGTTGTAGCTAGCTATAGTTGGTTTTTGAGTTTCCCAAATCGGCAACTCCACTTTCCACCCTTTGACAGTTTGAATCCTAACCCAACACGGCAACTCCAGTCAAGTTGTAGCTGTCTTTGAGTTTCCCAAATCGGCAAATCCTAGTATGTACTATGTAGTATCCCACACCTATAGTCCCACTAGCAGTTAAGTAGTTATATTAATTACTAATTAATTTAAAGTAGTGCTTTTATTTATTACTGATACTAATTTCGATTGGGCCCAAAGCCCAAAGGTGGCTCACTGGCTCTATAGTTCGGCTGTATTAAACTCTTATATATATACAATTATATATAGTATAGTAGTTCGGTTTTCGGTTCAGATCAGTTAACTTTTGTAGACAGACTGAACCGAAACCGAAAACCAATTTTTTAACACATCAAAAACCAAGCTGAACTGAATTAGCATATTCAGTTTGGTTCGGCTCAGTTTTCGGTTTCTTATCCAAATTTGAACACCCCTACGTAGAAAGCAATGAGCATCCAACAACTATCTACAAATCAATAAGTAATTTAAAGAAGATTGAAGGGAACAATTCGAGTAAAGTTTCAAAGGACTATCAAGAGTTGGTGTCAAGCGAAGCATTTTTGGTGGTGAACTTGAATAAATCGGGCCTTGCCTACCTTACATGGTAAGGGTGATGTAGCTTGTTCTGACACTAGAAACATAAGCAGGGCACTTGAGGCTACGCTAGGAAGAGTTGCAGTGTTGGATTCACAATCTGGGCCGAAAGACATAAACAACCTAAAGGAAGTCCTAGTCCTAGCTGCAGTAACAAAAGCCATAGTGGGAGCAAATGTCTCTCACTTAGAGTACACTTTGTGAACTAGTGGCCATGTAGGCTCCATTGGAACATCCACATACTCAACAAGAGCAAGAAGAGGGAGAGAATTGAAGACTTCAAAACATGACTCTTTTACAGCCTCCAAAATCCTAAAATGAGACTGAGCAATTGAGAGTCTTAGTCAATTTATTTATAGACATAAGGCTAAAAGGAAATATAGAGAAATATAAAAAAGAAAACAGTTAGGTCTGAATTAAGTAGGGGTGTAATTCAGCCAAGCCAAGCTGAGCCGAGCCGAACATCAATATGTTTTGGCTCGGCTCGACTAAAATACTATTGGGTTCAAGTTCGATTTGAACTCTATTTTCCAATTTGAGCTTGGCTCAATTAAATATTCAATGAGCACGAGCTGGGCTCAAAAGCTTGAAAATGAGGTATATTCTCATATTATGCATAGAATATAAAAATATATTTTACATAAATATATTTTCATAATATATATTATAAAATATATCTTTACATTCTATAATATATATGGAGCAAAGCTCGCAAGCTTTTGGGCCAAAGTTTTTATTGGTTGAGATCGAGTTCGAATAACTAATCAATCTTACTTCAATATTCAAATTCAATTAAACTCGAATCAGCCAAATCGAACTTGAGCCCAAACTATTCAATTAGAGCTCAATTTGATCGAACCCCTAAAATTAAGGGAACATTGTCAATACCTGAAATGGGATGAGTAGTACCATCAACCAAGGTAACAATATAAGATGTAGAAAGTAGGGACAAGGACACAAACATATTTGGACATCCAATCATATGATTTACCCAAGAATTAGATTTAGAATGAGAAGAAAGGCAAGGTATACCTACTTTGGCAAGGGTGGTGGTATTACTAGAAGAAGAGTGACAAAGTTTTTCATACTCTTCTCAAGTGATGGATATCACAACTCCACTTTCCCAACTTTTAAAAATGGATGCCTCATTAGTAGTGGTCACATGACTAGTAGTAAGATCATCTCCAACTGAAGCATGGTCAGCCCATATTAATGGTGGGCCATGCTAATCGTAGTTGAAGTTAATAGTATGTCCTTCATACCCACAACAATTGTATTCACATAAGCTCCATGTCCACTACCACCCTAGGCACTTCCTCCTCTACTACCTCCACAACCACCTCTAGAGGTCCACAACATGCACCTCTACCACATACAAAAAACAAACAACCCCATTCCCTCCAACTTAAAGACAAACTACCAACCAACCCTTCATCAAAACATCAAATGCCTGACAACTGACACAAGCCCTACATTATATAGACCCTAGCCTTCAACTTAACACCACATAAAACTTTGCTCAATTGCCCAACTTCTCTAGTGGCTTCATCAGGAATCTCCTTACTTCTTTCACTACCTTTTTTTGTCTTCTTCACATTCTTGATTGGTTGCTGACTCCAAATAACCCCCCTTTCAATCTAGCTAAAACTTTTGAAACTTGAATAGTGCAATAATGTTTCTAACCCCTAAACATCTTACTATGTTAGGAACCTTCTCAAGAACCTTTAACTCCTTAGAGCTAGTATTGATCCTCTCTAACTCTAAGACCGCATTCTTCTCGAAGATTTAATCCGCCACCCAATGTTTTAAAAGCGCAAGGCGCAAGGGCCACTTTGCACCTAAGGCGCAAGGCGCAAGGCACAAGGCAAGGCACACGACTAAAAAAAAAAGCTAAAAATTCAAAAAATTATAAAACATAATATTATTAAAAATATAAACTCAAGTTTTAAAATAAATGTTTTAAAAAACCTATTATCTAAAATTAAAATACATAAACATAATATGTAAAGCATATTCAAATGAGAATTTAAAAATGAAACCAAACATATAAAACATTTTCAAGCATATAAAACCCACAATCTCTTTTTTTCTCAATTGCATCAAGTAGCTAATGTGACATATTACATTCCTAATTCTACGATCCGCCTTTGTGCCACGCCCCTCGAGGCAAGCCCAAACAAGTCCATCGCTCACCGGAGCTTCGAGAATCCCCTATTTGGTAATGTTGTCCATTCATTCATATTAATAAAATATCTTCTTAAAAGCAATTAAAACTATAAAATTATTATTTTTTGTGTGAAAACTAAGATTTTAAGACCCTAACATGGACTTGTTTGGGCTGGCCTCAAGGAGTGTGGCACGGAGGTCCGGGGGCAAAGCCCCCGGCCCAGCGGCCAGACTCAAAAAAAAAGGAATAAGCAGCAAATTTTCAAAAGGTGCAAGGCGCACCTGGCGTGCACCTTTTGAATGGGTTGCGCCTAGGACCTGGGCAAGGCGCCAAACCTAAAATGCGCCTCGCCTTGGCGCCTAGGCGCACTTGAGGCATGCCTTTTAAATCCACAAACCTCATATTCTTTTTTTATCAATAACAATTAGCTTTCATTAAAAAAATAAAGAATTTAAGTACAAGAAAATGGGGGGAGATAAACTTTCTTAACTCTCCCACCAAGACAATAAAAAAAAAGTTACACACAAACCCAGAACAAAGTATCCCTATTTACCCCTTGCTTAGCTAACCCATTAGCAAATGGGTTAGCACTTCTATTTACCCAACTCAGCTTGGCTTCAATATCCTTTGTCAACCACTTAAATTTCCTCTTTTCATTATTGTAATTCCAGAATCTAGTAAACTCTTCCTTCAACCAGACCACCAACTTGGAATCTCCTTCTATACTCAGTTTGTTGATGTCCAAATCCTTAGCCCTTTGTACACCAAGCCGCCATGATCTCAGCCCAAAGAGAATCACCCTCTCCTATTGGACCGGAAAAAAGAGCAATTACATTTACCTCCTCGTTCCTTAGTACTCCCCCAATGCTTGAGGGCCCTAGGTTCCCCGTACTACTCCCATCAAAGTTCAATTTAATAAAACCACTGGGGAAAGGGCCCAAGCATGTAGAAAAGGCACTATAGTTGGAGTTGACCCCGTGACTTCCTTCCAATTCCTTATCAGATTATCAGTTGAGAAATCATTAAACAATTCCAAATACTTGAGCCATTGCACCACTCCGATGTGAATTGCCTCCAAGATAGATTGTATCCCTCTTTCCTTATCTGTAAAGATTCTTAAATTCCTTTCTTCCCATATAGTCCAATAAGCCACAGACCTTGCACTTCACATAATACATAATTCTCGCTCTTTTCATTGGACAACTGACTTTGCACATCTGGCAGGGGAGTCCACCTACACCCAAACAAAGAAAAGATCCATTCCCAAAAACAATTGGCAAAATGGCAAGAGATTAATAAGTGATCCAATTACTTGCAGCCCTACTCACGGCTTGAGGGAAGGTGTCAAGGCTAAAGATGCATAAGGAACAATGCCACCTTAGCATGCAGAAAAACACATCATGACAAGCCCATACATAACCGATAATAACATGAAAAAGCACTACTGAAGATAAACTCCCATTATCATCATCACCTAAGCCTTGTCCCAACTAAAAGAAGACAGGGAGAGAAAATCTAATGTCAACACGAATGAATTCCTACAATGTAGAATCAGAGAGAGATAGAGATAGAGATAGATAGAGTGTGAGTGGTAGGAACAGGAATTGAGACAAAGAGAGACGAAGACATAGTATCTAATGTCAATACTAAAGGGTACTTCCAAGCAAAGAGAATTAGAGAAATAGAGATAGATTGGAGAGAGAGAAAGAGAGGGAGAGAGAGAGAGAGACCTACATGATTCATGAACTACAGTCAAAGCATTCTTCTGCATTTGAAGATGAAACTGGAAATAAAATAGAAAATCAATCATCCCAACCATTAACGTTCAACAAAAACTCTAAGTTTATTCAACATAAGGGCAAAAAAGGAAGAACAAACAAATGAGGAAAAAATGAATTAACAAAAAATCGAAAAACAAATGGAAAAAGGAAGAGAAAAGATACCTGTTTTGCGACTTGCTCTTGCAGAGCGATAGATGGAGGATGACGACCAGATGACTTTACTGGTAAAACAGGTTCAACCAGATAATCCATTAACGCTTGCACAGCGTCCTCTGTATGAACCAACTCGTATGAATCCATGGTATTCGAAGCCTTTTCGAGGCCCGAGTTGATCACGGCCTCCACCTCCGGGCGCAGGAAAACAGAGTATCGAAGTTAGGGTTTTAGCGATTATTGGAAGAAATGCGAGGAGTGGAAGTTGAACCTTCATTGTTCGTATAAAAACGCTCTTTTCAAGTTTGCATTTCTGATAAAGGCGCGAAATGAGTGACTAAGCACAAGAAGACAAATGATCATGAGGAATATTTGCTTGCCTTGACCTTGGTTGAATTTTCGCGTGGAACTGTGGATTACCGAAGCAAAAATAAAATAAACGGTAAATTTAGACCTGGCAATTTGGTTGGGTGGATCGGGTTCGGGTTGGGTTATCAAATGCTAAACCCTAAGCTTAAATGTACAGGTTAGGGTTGATCCAATTCGGATCACTTAAAAAATAACTGAAATTTAAAAAAGTAACAAAAAATTATATGAAAAATATCAAAATTAAAAGAATTAACCTTAAAATTCCATATTGTCTTTGATAAAATTGCCTTTCCCAAAGTAATTTCTTTACAATATGTTATATTAACCTTTTGATAAAATAATTAACGTTCCAATTAGGCTTGACCCAATTTCTTTACAATATATTATATTATCAAATTGCCTTTCAATAAAATTGTCTACTAAAGCAATGATTAACAATGACCAAGAGAATTTTTATCTTCTCATTCCTAATGTTTTTTCCTTCTTACTATATAAACTTTTTTCACAAGGACATTCTAGTGCCTTCTAGTTGGCAATTCTATCCAATTTTTTGAACATGGGTATGAAATTAAGACTGCATATTCAATCCACATAGTTAGGTCCTTTGAGCTTGTTATTATCTATTAGTTTAGCAAATGGTATGTGTGTCATTATTTATAAACTGCACGAATAAGTGATTAATTAATGACCTAATTATTATTTTATGTCACTAACCGCATATTGATTTTTATTTAAGTTGCATTTTTATTTGTTCATTTTTAAGACTTCCCTTAATTTCAAGGATTGTTCATATTTCTATAGATGTGAAGAATCACATAAGTGCATATATAGGGTCAATTGTTTCAACTACATAATCATATCACTTTTTATTAAAAATCATAAATCAACTCATGCCTCATGAGTTTCCCCTTTGGCTTCAGACAAGTTTTATAACCATTTTATAGTTAAACATTTCTAATTGGTAGGTACTGACCTCACATATTGAGAGCCCCAAGGTATTGTGAGAAAGTTTTCTATTTTAGGAAATGCCCACCCACTACTAAATGGCACCCATAATATCACATGAGACAATCTAGTTGACTGTATCAACAAAGCATATAGCCCAATTAATGGTGCATTCCTGCCTACCAATTAAACTTGTTTTCATGCCAACAATGAAAAGCCTTTAAAAATGTCATTTTATGATAATCCCTATCACTATGCACTTATGTTGTTTATGAGGAAACAATAATAACAGTCCATATGTTGGTTTACGTCATACCAAAGTGTCACCCATAGACTTTCACAAGTCAAGTTTAAATGGGCTCAAATGGGATAAGGCTTTTAATTGTAGGATTCCTGTCATGGGAGATGAAACAAGAAAATGGCCCATAATGTGGGACATTATTCAATGATCTATAAAACAACATGGCAATGACGTGCATTCGTCCATGATGGGTGTAAGGAACCACAAAGTCTTGACATGGGCCAAGCACTTATGGCCCATGTGCGAATCACATTCACATAACACAAATCATCACATGTACTCGATTAAAATCAACTTAAAATTTGTAAAACCAAAACCCATTTATATTAATACACTATCAACCCATTACTACACCCACTTATCAAATAAATATGTGTTGGTATATGAGACCATCTTCAAAAAGCAGTTTCAGCTCACATAGCAGTCCAAATTGGATGGGCTTATCTTGCTTTAATTTGAACATAACTTTGCAAGCATGGGCCAAATTGATCCATATAATCACCCATTAATCCCTTGGCTTATGTCTATAAATGATCCCTTAAGCAATGACCTAAAGGGTTGTTATTAGTCTCCAAAGAACCCTATGTTTGGTCCATAAATATTGGACCAAAAATAGGTAAAATCAGCCTATGTTTGGTGTCCAAGACACGCACCAAATTCAAGGTTTAAGATCTTAATACTTTTAGCTATGATTCATAATCAATATAGAAGAAACAAACACCAATAATAAATTCAAAATAAAACTAATATGGCTGGGAGTGTAGTAGTTCAAAACCAATCCGGATAAATTGCAAATTGCATTGAACTTGTTTGTGCAATGAAAATCAACTAAGAAACCCTGATTCTCTATTATGTACATAAAAAAAAGTCCTAGTACATTTTGTCTAAGAAAAAAAAAAAAAAAAAGTAATTGCAACTTATGTATGAATATTGAAATCGCATGGTGTGCATCAATCATGCAACCAATAAAGAATTTGATCTCCACCACACTCCAGTCCACAAAATTCAAGATTCACATAGAATTATTCCAAAAAATATACATATGAATATTCAGATCATTGTCCCAAATTGATAACGAGTTATCAGTTTACACAATCACCAGGTCAAATTGGCTATACTTGTTTTGGCTGATTTGATCATTGCTTCAAATTTCATGAAGTTCAACGTAAGAACTGAACCTAGTGCTCCAGTACCATTATTGGATGGTCTAGAAGTTTAATTAAACATGACCAAAGTTGTTACAATTGCTAGCCAAATTTTATAGAAATTTTCAACTAACCCAACCCAATAATTAGTTTATTGGTATTTTGAAATATGAATTTGCAAATCGATTTTGCACTAAATTCAGCGAGACTTGAAACCCAAAATTAAAACACATCATACATGATACGGAGTCCACATTCTGCAATTCATGGACTGGTGATTCACTCTCAATTTTAGGACCCAAATTGGACTCCAATTGAATATGACACAGTTGAATGTGCAAAGCCGATTCAACAAATCCGATTCCCAACTTGCTTGGATCAATGTAGCATGAGAACTTGGTATCCTCTAATATTTTCTTCAAAAAACACAATAGATGACTAATGAATATTAACTCCACCATAGCTGGTTCAAACTAGGGTTTTTGGGTGAAAAGGGAAAAGAGAAAGAAAGCAAGAGAGTGGATTCAAATCAGATTTGGATCAGAACTTTATCTTTAATTGATAATCGTTATCTTCGTAAGAGAATAGGTGTTTCGTACCCTTATTTGATCCATGTCATATAACAACTTAAGTTGTCATATGACTTCTTAAACTAATCTTATTAGTAATGGGCTTAAGGGCCATTTTCTTTACTAACTCATTATCTAGGCATTGCATGGACACTTAGGCCTGAATATTGCGTGGTGTGGGACCTACAAAAGTCTCACACAAGTCCACATAGGTTCAGCCTTATCCTGAACAGGAATAGGACGAATTCACTACCTAAGTCAATGAACCCCAAAGCCAGACAAGTTGGGCTCAGTCTAGGCCCAACACTTAAATATAAGTGATGCTTGGATTCAATGACCGTATGAAAACTAAAGGAAAATGGACTAATGTAAAATAAAGCCCATCAAGTTATTAGGCCTCTAATGGTCTCTTGCCCTTAACCTCTCAACTCTGAATTGCCAAAACATTACTTACAACAAATTAAAGACATATTCTCTAACTACAAAATGTAGTATCACACTCTCTACTCAGATGGATCCCGAGATTAAAACTTTTTGTAAACTTTTACAAATAAGATTTCAAATACAATTGAAATCTACTACCGGTAGTTTTAGGTTTCCATTAGAGAATGTGTAAACCCTAATATTCACTTTTTCTGACAAATGGACTGATCTTATCACTATAATCACTCACTTAAGTAAATTTTTAAACTATTCCAAAATGCTTAGATATTTGACCATTTATGCATTTCACTAGTTGGTATATTAAAAGCAACTCAATCTGAGATCTAGTGTAGTCTCATAATCAACTATAGGATTGAGTGCAACTTTCCAATTTCACCATCTATCTTCAATGTGCAGGGCATAACTGGAAATTGGTCAAGTTCAATGCTTATTTTAAACACCCATTGACTGTACATAGGGTCTAACCCTAACAGTTGAGACAAATTATTCTTTTAATTCGACATCACATTAGTGTCAACTTTGTCAGCATAAACCCTCAAAGTCTATCTAATGGATGACAATATTAAAAACTAATACAAATTTCATAAGTTATAGTTTAAAGAGTAATTCACAAAAAACACAACAAATATAGACATAAAATGATAGTGTACTTATATTTATCATATCGAAATGTTAATGTACATCAATCTAATTGGAGCTAGAGGCATATATTATCTAATACCATTTTATAGTCATTTGATAGATTTTTCCTTTCTTAGAAGTGAATTATATTTTCTCTAACATGATAAAAGACTTTCTGAAGATGACAATTGTAGTTTAAGACTTCAAATTTTTGGTAATTAGCTACAATACAAATGAAGGAATCTCTTTTCTTCCAATTGGCTGATTCCTTTAATCTCTCACATACATGGCATTTCTAAGCCTAAGGTTGCATAAACCGAGTTTAGTCTTGTTGATCATTATAGAGAGTCCATCTTAAACAATTGATTACATTAATATCATAAAAGAATGACACATTTTAAATACAACTTAATGTTATATTCCTCCATAATGAGTTGTTTGTACTAGATAACCATTTGAGCAATACCAAATCATTCAGTTGTTGTAGAGCCTTATCATGTTTGATATTTCTAGGAGCACATTCACTAAAGAGATTTGATGATGGTGATGATATCATGAAGATTAGGCATTTGATTAGGAAGAACTTCCACTTGTTCATATTTGGTAGTAGTATTGCTTTGGGGTCAAAAATCTCCCCCATTTTTGATGATGACAAACATTTGAGGATACCCTTCTAATTCTCCTGCTACATAAACAATTTGAGAGTTACCAATGTTACTTGTCCCACTTAAGTAGGAGTTTTGAATTTAAAAATCCTTATAAAGAATAAAGCCGAAAAACAACCTCGCTCCACACCCATAAAGGCTCTCATTAAAAATATAATGACAAGCAATAGCCGCGCTTCACAAATAACACTTGCTCCCATTAATAGCCTTATAGTAACAATTTTGGTGGGTTAATATTTTAAATAAATTTCG